CATGCCCCCGTAGAAGATGATTCGGAAACAAAGTAATCGCTCGCCGAAGACATGACGGATAATACCGGATACTGGCGGGCTCCGTGAGTAGCCGAATGATAACGAGGTCGCGGAACGAAAGGTCAAATTGCCGGTTATGCCGAGCCGAGTGCGAACGGCGCAGGTGCGAGTGACCGAGAGCACCAAGTGTCGGCAGGCAATATCCGGTAATCTCCACAATTTCCACGGCTCCTTCCTTACGCACCGGCCCCGCATTCACGTGCACAATCGTAGATGCACGTCGATCGCGGAGGCAGGTCGCAGGTGGCCCGCCCTTCTTTCGAGATTATTGTCGCCGCTTATTGGGCGTTATTCGGGATCGGAAGCCCCTCGACGCGCGCGCACTCCTCCCGCACGACGCTTTTCCTACGGAGGCAACCTTCGGAATATTAAAATAATCGCGATCTCGATGCTCGGGACGGACTTTTAATAAATCCTACGGCCTTGAGGCTCGAGACGACAACAAGAAGGGCTACTGCTCCCAGATGTGACTGCAGCCCCTAATGAGCGAGCTATTTTTCACGAGTATTTTTATCCCGTTTATTGGCCACCCGCTTCACAAACTGTCGGCTGGATATTAATCATCCGGATTTCTTAGCTCTCGCGGCCTCTTGCTCCACCTCCTCGCTCCGATAATGACAATGAGGAGTAGATGCGAGGTACGGGGTTGGATGGGGGATCGCGAGGCGGCTGATACGCTCGGCTTTTACGCGCGTACGATGCAGGCCCTCGCTGAAGGCCGAATAGGGATTTAGCGAAGGAAAACGCGAGCGGAAAACTTTGCTCTCGCGACTTGGTGTGGTATCTCAGTCTCAGTTGCTCGGTTCCTCGGCACCGTTGTCCCTCTTTGAAAAATGTCGACCCGAGACGTGGGACCAACGACCGATCCGTCGCGAGGGACATTCTTTGATACATTGAGGACCTCGAATCTGTTGTTGAAACGGCCCATTCCTTCCAAAGCTCTCATTTCCTCAACACCTCACTCACTCACTCACTCACTCACTCACTCACTCTCTCTCTCTCTCTCTCTCTCTCTCTCTCTCTGGGGAATGGTAGGAAAATTGACTCGAGTTTTCCAATTGCATTGCTAAAAACTCCAATATTATCTGCAATTTTCAACGTAGCACAGACCACAATCTCAATTGCTATCACTCTTCTCTTTTTAAATCTTTTTGGCCGTGGTTCGTTCGAAAGATAAAATTAAACATTAGAAGCGCTTACTAATTATCTATTCGACAAACTCTCGTTTCACTCGTACTATTGCTTATCTTTTAAATTAAATGAGCTACTTAAATAGCGCGTCCATCAAATGTGATTTATAGTGCAACTTAAATACATGGATTCGAGATATAAAATATTTTAGCGTATTATTATATAAGATCCTTCAAGCTCTACGTTATATTCAAACGTCCTTTTATTTCAAAGTGTGTAAAAAAAACATTTATTAACTTTTTCTAACTAAATGGAGATACTTTAATAGCAGACGATGGAAAAGTGACAATTAATATTTATCGATTTTAAAGAATCTTTAAGTAAAAAATATATCTACGCTCGAATCTCGTAGCTTATTAATATAAATTCTAAATTCAGTTTATGAAATGCAACTGGAAATATCTCTTAAAAGTATAAAAATGTTTATGCAGACTTTTAATTATCTGTAAATGTAAATAATAATTTTAATGGATATTGTTCGTCATTAAATATTAAGATATTCGTTTTTGTTATTTCTTTAATGAATTTAAAATTCGTTAAACTGTAATTTATAATCTTTTTAAAAATAAATAAAAGTCCATTCATATTGATCGATAGAGTGATATCTTTTCATTAAAAATTGTAAATAATGTCAAATAAATAAATAATTGCTTAGATTATTTTCAATTTATTTGACTTTTTATTTAATCATAGAACTACATTTGTAATGTTTTCATTAGCATTATCATAATTCATTGTATACTTGTATATGTAATTTACATCCACCCTTTTCCTATTAAAAATACATTTATTGATTTGAAGTTAAAAACTGACAAAGACCATTCGACGAACATTTAATGAAATATTTTCCAAGATCTATACTGAGCATACGAATTACATTTATTAGTATTTACATAGAGCAGATGAATAGTCATTGACTTTAACATTTATGCAAATATTTTCATTTAATGGAGTATTTTGCCAATATAAAACCATCGTTTATTATTACCGCAATGCTCTACAAAATTTATTTCTTGATTAAATATTTTTAGTTCTCATTATGTCATGCACCTATAAAATTATAATATATAAAATTACAAATTAATTTAGGAGCTTTTTCAAATGAATACGTATCGTAAAAATATAGCTCAATAATAAATAATGGATAAATAAAAAATCATGTTAGAATTATTTTCTTATCTAATGTGAAAAAATTGAAAAGAAATTTATTGTTAATCAGAATAAAGAATACATCCAAATGCTTGTAGTCTATGAATAAATATTCATTTCCATTTATTGATAATAGAATATTTGTATTTGCATTTGGTGCAGAATTAATTTGCATCGATGCCACTGAGAATTTATAAATAGATATATCAATTATTTTATTGTTAATTTATTAATTTATTAATTTATCAATTAAGAAAAATTAACGTACACGCGATAGAAATTGTAGAAAATATTTAAGTTCTCAAACATTAAAATAATATCTCATATAATTATGTATTCAGATTACCATTAGTTTTATTTTTATTTAACGAAATATTCTTATATATTATAATTGTATCGTTTGTAAATTGTATATAATAGTTGTATTTTAATAGGAAAAGACGGA